GTTTGACAGTGCCTTGTGTCTGGGAACACTATGTAAAATCTTACTTGTTCCTTTGTATGCTGTGTTAGCCAGCCATGTAAATGGGCCATTGTTTGGGAGACCGCCTAGGACTCGGCCCTAAATGGGTAACTTCTGCAATGAAAAGGGATTTTATGCCTGTTTGCGTGAGCCACCTTCTACAATTTGAATTACTTAGCGGACTGTGGGTGTCACCAGACAAGAACTTCTGTAAAGGCACTAGTTCCTGTGACTTCTTCGTAAAGTCATCGGAACGGCTAGTTCCCACATGGAGGATGTATGGGCATTGTCATGCGTAACTTGTGACGGTTTTCATGTCAGCTGCTTGCTGCATTTCACCCCATGAGCTTGTATTCCTAGCTGCAAAGGACAGGTGATGGTTCAGATGAAAATTGTTCTGTGGTTACTTCCAAAGTCAGGTCTCCCTCACAACTGTTAGTAACCTGTCCCTTGGTTTGCGCTTTGGCGCCTCAGGACTGTTGCCTCTCTCGAACAAACTGATTAAAAACTTAGGACATTCCAGCAGCTAAATGTTCAGAGCTGAAAATGAGAAATGACATTTTGTTTTGGAAATAAAACTTGTTAACAAGTTTAAAGTGCTATCAAAATTCCTTTGGTGATGTGAGCTTCTAAATCGGTTCAGTGCTTACATGCTTTATTTCTCCCCTCCTCACAGCTCTGCAGAACTGACTATTCCTGTGACAGGAGGACTGTTATGGACCCAGAATGACTTCCATAAAATAAAAAGTGGCCTTCAGCTCTTCTAAGACAGCAGAGTGTTCCGCAGCTCTCAGTATTGCACAAGATAAGTGGCATGGAAGAACTAGTAATGCTGATGGGGAAATAGCCACGCCAGGATTTTTTTTTTTTTTTTTGGTGAAGATTTACTGGTCTGATTTTTACTGTGTAAAATCAATATTTTATACAGGTGGTGTGTTTTAAGTTCCATGTGTAGTAACCATTGTCTTGCTGTCTTGCTTAGCCACTGTCATGAATTTTTAGCTCTAGCTGATGTTTGCCAAATACAGTTAAGAGTACTTCAGAATCCCTCAGTGTTCCTTAATATTTTCATGGTTAATAAACACAACCGACTGAAGGCCAACCTTCTTTCTGGATTCTGTTTTTCCTTTTTCACTCAGGTATTGTGGAAAGTGTCCTCTGGTCCTCGTTGGCCAAAGCATTGAGCCCTTCCTATTTGAGTGACTCTAATGTTGTCCTGTCTGAGTTTGTGTGGTTTTGCCAGGATAAGATTGTGCTACCATTTTCACCTAGCTAGGATTTCACGTGAAGCCTCAGGGATCAAGCCTAGGTACAGCACGGCTGAGTGTGCTGTAGTGCATAGATATCTTCAAGAATTTTTTTTCTCACCATTTTTTTCAAGTCATAGTCTTAAGGCCACTACTGTCTCTTTTTAATTACAATTTTCTGCTTGATGTTATTTGTGTGCATGATTTTGCTGATGTTGGGAACTTGCTGAGTACTTTGTTGGAAACTTGTTGAGAAAAGGGGCTTCCAGATAGTTTTTCTTAAATTCAGTTTTCTTTACCAGTATTAAAGGTTCTTGGAAACTGGAGGCTTCTAATTGCCTGTCAAAAAATAGGAGTTTAAGCATGTATGTATTGCAGGACTCAGTAAGAATTTGTTGGAGTGCACCGCTAGATAGTAAGACAGAGCCCTTCTCTGAGCCAGTCTAATAATTTGGAGTATTTACAAACTAAACAGGAATAGGAAGGTGTCAGTGCACCATTGTGAAATGGAGTCTTTTTAGTTCTGTAGAGATACTGCTGACATTATGTGCTAACGTTCTGCAGAAAGTGACACAAAAAGGGACACAGAGCTTTAGCAGTACATTGGGTAGGACTGAATTGCAAGTTTAGAACAGCAACTTCGTGGCTGCTTTGGGCTGGCTCTTGAGTAAAGACTTGGCTAAATGTCCATAATGTCAGTATTATTTCTTTCTTTCAATTTTTTGTCATCCCGTTCTGCTGCAGTTACTCTTTACCAGACAGCCACAAGTTGTTTAAAATGGAAGATACATTGCACATTTCCTTCTCCTAAAAACAAGCAGTGCTAATGCAAAAGAAGTTTCTCCTTTTACCCAGCAGTTCCCCAAGGTTATTTAGGAAATTTTGACTGAAGAGGATTTGTTCTTTTATTTCTGTATTCGGTAGAGTATTAAATTACTTAAATTATTGTGTTTGGTACTTCCTGAGGTCTGCCAATGCAAATAAGCTAACAGTTCAAAAAGGAAAGTGTGATGCTGTCAAATACTGTGCTATATGTAACCTTTGTCCCCCTTTGGTAAAGGTTTACGTGGTCAAATCACATGCTTCAGCTGTAGTTTCTGCCCTGTGTGTCTGCCATCACCCACCTAGTGAACTAAGGAATAAAAATAATGGTCTCTGATGTAATTGCAGAGTCAAGTAGAACAGTGGAATCCGGTGCTGTGGATGACTTGAAGAAAAGCACAAAACTGCCAGATGGTTTAAAAAAAGAATGGAAATAATACTTGAGGAGAAGCCGTAGTAATGGCATGAATTTTAAATGGAGTATTACTGGGAGCTGGGGGAAGGGGGGAGCAGGCTTGAAACAAAGTGTGTGTGTGGGAAGGTGGGAAAAGTTGGGAATGGTTAGAGAAAAGAGACATACATGTTTTGATTTTTTAAAAAGTGAAGGGGCTTCTACTAAAGCAACAGAAGCATAAAACCTGGACAGTTATGTATTGCTCGGTTCAGGATTATGAAACTTGGTCTTTGTTTAATCTGATTAATTCACAGGAGGAACAATTTTGTAGCTACTTTCCCAAGAACCTGGGAAATGACAACATTACTATGAGTAATACATAATAAATGCATCAATAGCCTTAACAGTTAAAGCCAGCTGGTTCAGATGATGTAAAAAGCAAGTCAGTAAACAGTTACTGTATCTGGTACTTCTGAGGTCTGTCGATGCAAATGTAACTGCAAAAAGGAAAGGGTGATCCTGCCAAAAAATTACGCTGCGTAAATTTTTTTTCCCTTTGGTAAAAGTTTACTTGGTAAAATTTGTTTTCAACATGCTGATTACTTTTTTTGCTAGAAGCATACTCAGTGGGGATAGGAAAGGCAATGTTGATGTATTCCTAAATTTTTTTTTTTTTCCTTTGCATTAGTTAGGGTTCTTGAGATGGCTTTCTCCCCATAAATTCATCTCTCCAGACAGATTTTCACTGAAAAAACATCTCCAAAGGGGAGCTATAGAGAGGATTGGAGATAAATCTGGGACTGTATGGAATACATCATGCAAATTGGAATTGCTGAGGAAGTTGAGGCCTGGCTCCACGGCTTAGGAAAAAGCAATTTTGTAATACAGGTATTTTATTGATTTTGATTGGGTTTGTGCTATCTTCTCAATCACCTGGTTCTGGGCCATTGTGAGAGCAAATGTCGTAACGGTGAGAAGTTTGGGACATTCCAGAGAGCGATGATCTTTGTGTATCATTTTCCTTTTGTTAGTTTTACCTTCCCCCCCCCCACCCCGAGTTAAAGTAGTTTGAGCCAAAGCAATGATAATAAAAAATGAGATTGTATCACCTCCCCTAGAGTAAGGGAAATCATTAAGTGTTTAAATAGCAAAAGAAAATCTGTGTAATACAGAGACTGATGAAGGATGTTGTTCTGGCAAGACAGCAGCACCTAATGGTACCTTTTCTCTGCTTTTTAAAGAAAACTCTTGTCCTGTTCCTTCACAGCTTTAAGCATAGATGGAAAATCTGAGCATGATGTAGGATTTCAGAAGCTACGTATTTTTTAGTAAATCAGCTAAAAATACTGAGAAATAATTTGGACAGCTTTTTGAGGCTCTCACCAAAAGAGATTTACCAAATAAAAAGCTAGAAACAAATATTCCAATGGCTCTCAGTTTTATTAAATAAGCAAATTTTTTATATATATAAAGTATAACATTTCATATTATTAAATAATTGTGCAAACCTTTTACGGGGGGGGGGGGGGGGTCTTTTAATACATTTACAAACTTTAAATACCACAGACCAAAACCATAGATACTGTATAATGGCTCTTCAAAGGCTAACCAAACACTGGCATGAGAATAATTTTACATGACGGTGCACTTGTATTTTTCCAGTTGAAATATTGCAAGAAATAGAGCTGATACGGGCTCTGTCAGCAGACAGGCTATGGGTACAGAAGAGGAGTCTTAAAGCTGAACTCTCACCATGGAAATAACAGTGACAGATCTAACGCGCTGACTACGCTGAGTCCTGTGCACTAATGCTTCAGGTAAACCTGTGGCAGGTCAAGATGAAGTAGTGTTTCAACTCTGTGGAGCAAAGCTGCACAGAAATGACTCGTGCTCCCTCTCTTCAGTGTGGAGTTTTAAAAATTACTACAGTCAAAACACATCCCTGTGGTTTGGTGTACATCATCAGAATCCATGCATGTCACCAGGTATTTTTTAACTGAATTATTTCAACAGATTTTTTGCATGTTCTGACTTAATTATTAAGAATTTCAAGATGCCAAAATTCACAATTGGCATTAAAAGTATGCAGTGGGGAACTCACCTAGCTAGATGTTTTGGGTTTGGTGTTTTTTTTGGTTTTTGTTTTTGATGAGGATCCTTCTGCTTGTTCCAAGCAACCATACCCACACCTTCTATTTAAGTTTACAGTTAAAGCATTTTTACAAAAGCAAACAGACTCACACTAGTGAATGAACTACATGCAGCAGCAACTGGAGCAGTGCACGCTCATTACTACAGAGATTTACGAATACCACACTCCAGCTCAACATCCATTTTCACTCATTTTGTCATTAAGACTTACATTATATTTGGGTCAACCAAAAAAACCCAAAGATATTTATAAAATTTTACAACAATTAAACAGTAATGTTTAATTCTACAAATGAATAAAGCCAACTACTGCAGCTTGGTACAACAACAACAGGACTAACAGTAGTGAAATCATTTATATGTACAATTTAATATATTACTGACATGTAATTCTTACAAAAAACAATAAATAACTTAGACTGGCATCCCATAAAGCATTTGATTTTTGATTCATAAATTTAAGGTTATACACTTTTAAGTGACAAATTATGTGAACGTAATATAGCTAGAGATGAAAGATCAGTAGATCAGAACTCCCAGAGAACACTCTGGCCCCAGTAAAGCACTGAAGTCCACTGCTTAACTCTGGCTGATTGCAGTAGGCAAGGACTTTACTTTTTTTTTTTTCCCCCCCCTCATCTAGAATTGTAATTTCATGGATTTTATTAAAATATAGTTTCTAGAACAGTTCTCTTACAGTTTTAAAAACATTTAAATACTATGCTCTCAAAAAGAGCATTTATACAAAGTCTCATATTTACAATATAGACAGTTGTGATCAGGTGTTAATTAGATCAACTCTTCCATGTAAGAAGAAATCTAAGCTTATGCGCTGAAGATGAATGAATGTGTGTTTTGAAGTGGCTTGTAAACATACCTGAAAACAGATGTGGATGACTGAATTATCACTGAAAGTAGTTGGTTAGGAAAGACTACATCACATACAAAAGTTTCATAACCTCTAAGGAGGTCTAAACTAGCACAAAATTTGAAAATTACTTCCACAAGGCTACGCTGCCGCTTCTGTGACGGTGCATGATGGATGCCAATAGCTGCTTAGGAAAAGACAATTTGCCTTCAAAACAGCTTAGGGAAATCATATGCTGGGTTTGTATTGGCGCAGCATTCCCATTGTTTAAAAAGGAATTTATCTATCAGTAAAACAAAAGTTAGTGAAAATTAAAATGACTAGACAAAGCCTACAAAAATGAGTATCTCCCTAAACCACCCGACACTTCATACAGAAATTTCTGCTCAGTTTTCCACATTAGAAAACATCAAAAACACCTACTAAACCCCTCTTAAAATAGCTTATCTTTGTAATTGGAGGAAAATGGAACAAACATTTTTCTACATACAAATATTTAATTCCATGCAAGATGGAAAACATGAGTGCACAATAAACTTCATTTTATACCTAAATAATTTATAAATTAATCCGTTAAGAATAAAGCAGGGTCTACAGCAATTCTAGTTACATTTTAAACACATGCAGATGAGTTAACAGCAACATTTTTACATAAAGTTTAGTGCAAGAATGTATCTGCTTAATAAATAGACTAAAGATAACCATGTGATGCTCTGAGGTGTACACACAGTATCTGTGCACATAATAAACTGGTTCTGAAAAGTTGTCCTTGTTTGTCTATAAACTACAAGTGCCCATTTCAAATAAAAAAGATCCATAATTACTCAATGGGCTACTTCCCTGTGACACATGGTGTCACAAACATTGTGGTGAAAATGTAATACTGAAGTTCATCTAGAGTTTTTTTTTTTTTTTTTTTAAATACACAGTTTTTATACAATCAAGAAAAAGAGATACAATTTGTATCAACAAACAAAAGGTCATTTCTGGTTATTTGAGGCATTGCTCTCAGCTGCTTATACCATGCAAGAGAAGAGAATAAGAATTAATTGCAAATTAAAAATATAAAATGCTAGTTAGTAAGAAATGTTTCTGAAAAGTGATCGAGAGGTAAATCTGTTTTCCCCAACTATTATAAATGTCTGAAGATTTTTTTTTTCCCATCAACAGAGATGATAACCAACTAATTAAAACTGAAGTTATTTTTAAACACAAAGTCTAAATACAGAATCACCTTCAAGTTAATTCATTTTAAATACATAATGACATGGTCATCATATACGTTACCTCTACCAACACAAGAATATTTATCCTCTGTGAAATGATATGGTTATCAAATATCAGTAAATTAACTGTAGTTGCATCTGTAATTGTGGTTTGTTGGTGGGTTGGTGGTTTTTTGTTTAGTTGTTGGTTTTTTTTTTTTATATGACAGGAACATATTTTGCACATGATAAAGAGCCCACAAGATATTTGGAATCAAACCAACCATTACAGTAACACAAGTGGAGGAAATGCTATAACTTTGTTCCTCAGGCAAACAGATAACTAGAAAGCAGCATGCAAGCCATTATCAAAACACCAGAAACAACCCTGACTGCAGCCTCACGTTCCGTGTGTTTCACAGTAAGAAACATTTAGGCAGTGTCACACCTTCTCATGAAGAAACAAAAGGCCATAAACCAGGCCTTCTCAACTTTCATGAAAAAAACTACAGTAGAAGTCAACAAGTCCTAGCTCGAGATGTATCGAGTTAGTAATGGTTCGAAATGCTGAAATATACAATGGATTCAAAAAAGGGCGTCCAGTCAGTGCAGCTTAAAAAACAATAAACGCCTCTTTTGGAGACATTTAGCTACAAAGGTTCCCACCCTGAGCAAGATACCAATTGCGCAAACAATGCCACACAAAATTATCTCACCTATTGAAACAGGAACTCTAAAAGCCTTCATGAGGCAAATGCACACCTTTGCGTGGATCTGAAGAGCAAAAACCAGGCCAGCTTTGCCACAAACGCAAACTGTAGCACCTCTTTTCAAGAAGCAGCCTCCGCCCCCCACCCCCCAAGTTGATCATGTACAGCCATCGTGAATGTTAGGTTCACTCAAACACCACTCTTGCCCCCAGAGGAAGGGCTGTAGTTACTGATGAACTTTCATGTTAACATCCTGCTTCCACTGTGCCAGGCTGAGCAATCCAATCACATAAAACTGACACTTTACCTTCAGCTTGTCTAGTCCTGTGGCCAGCAGCTGCTTACCACGCCGTTGAGAGGTGCTTCTGAAGAGAGCTGCTACAGTTAAACTTGGTTTCGCTTACTGAATGGCGCTCAGGCCTTCACACTCCTTAATGCTTTGGTCCGTATTTGGCTTCTGTTGGATTGAGCCCAAGTATTGGACAATGTAACAGATAGATACTCAAACTCTTGGGGAACAGTTTTGAAATTTAAGTGCCAACAACAATACTGACATTCCAAAGATGAGATCAGTTTTTCCTTTTACAAATTGAGTATTTTAATTTTTGTCAAGTTTACTTTTTCTTCAATATTTAACATGCCAGTAGGCAGTGTCAAATGACAAAGCTGAAACCCTAAAAGCCAGGTGGCTGTGTATAGAGCATACTTTTAGAAAGCCAATTACGTATTTATAAGGAAATTGAAAGTGTACACTAATACATGCAATATAATTGTTAACAATATTTTGTAGTAACAGCTTTGAGACACTGAACGTGACATTGTAGTTCTTAATGAGCTATCCATGCAGCAAGGTATGCATTTCCTGTAAAATACTATTAAAAATCCCTATATTTAAAATCTTAAAATTTACAATACAATCGACTCATATACTGCCTCAGCATATATATATATATATATATACACATATATATATATATGAGATTGCTACTGTGTACAGAATTTTACATTGGCTTAGTAGAAAATATTTACAACAGATTGGACCCTTCCATCTTCATTTAAATTTTCCTCCAGGTCCTATATGCTGTGCAGTTTCATTTATCCAAAAGAGGCTGTAATGCTTTAACGCCCTGTTCTTAATTTGGCAACAATCATAGCTGCCAGCTGTTGTGCATCTGTCATGTGGGGATTCTTTTCCATCACAGAAAGGACAATGCTTGGAGGGAAAATATTGCAGAGGTTCTTGTATGTTTGATACTGATGTTCTGGGATGATATGTGGTTCCCGTGGCTCACCACATATCCCAATCCAGGGATTCCTCCAGAGTTGCTCCATCTTCTCAGGCATGCTTCTTACCATTACAGGTTCATAACATGGCTGCATGAGGTTGTTACTCAATGGGTACGAGTGGTAAGTGTATGAGTCCGATGCACATGGTAATGGATCCCAGCTAGCATGCTGCTCTCGACAGAGTGGTGGTCTTCTCTGCCTTGTAGGGTTACTTTCATAAAGCCGTGAGTCAGAAATGCTGTCCATTCTTGTCATGACCAAGGCACGGCTTGGTTGTGCAGTTGATGGATGAACATTTTGAGGCACAGGGTATTCTCCTGGACAACTGGACCGTGCTCCAACAACTGGATGCTGGGCATGTAGGCCTAAGTGGGAAACTGACTGTTTGCGAAGGGAGTGCTTAGGCTCTTCAGTTCCATAACTCTGAACTCTATTTAAGGCTTCATGGTAACCATGGGAAAAAGGCTGAAGACGATTTTGCGATGGCAGTCTGTGGATCTTCACATTGTCTTCTGGACTGGCATCTGCTACACCCAGATACAAGTCATTGTAAGAGGAATAAGAATCATTACTTGTATGGCTTAAGCAATTGTCAGGACAGGGGCTTGAGTTTCTAGAATACATCCCCTGGTCCATATCAGCCCCGTAATAATCTGTGTTACGGATACTACTTATGCTCAAGTTAGAGAAATCACTGAGTAAGGAATAATAGCCATGGTCCCCCAATGATTCATATTTGGGATACTGGTCAGTATAGCTAACTGAGGCACCATGGCTATTGGTGACTAGTATAGGAGGATATTGCACACTGGACATATGTTCCAGTGAGGATTTCTGATGCATGAACTGTGAGGAACCTGGCACCGGACTGCTTGCAGAACGAGTATTTAATGCACCAGCTGCATGGCTTTTTGGTGGAGGGAGCGTTGGTACACTTAATGCAGAAACCAGAGACGGGACAGAGCTGGCCTCAGACTTCCGGGCTACTGATAACTTTTCCTCAGGCTCCACAGCTACTGATCTAATGCTTGGATCTGACTGGCGTTTTGGGGCAATGCGTTTCACTTCAGAACTGATTTCTCCTTTGGAGCTGGATGGCCCTGTGCCACATTTGGCCAAGGCTCCCTCACTCATAGTTTTCACAGCAGATAATTTGGCACTTATTCGAAGCTCATCCGCTACTGACCTTTGAGGCTGGTTTGCCCGTTCTGGGTGGTAATATTTACATTTGTGCCCATAGGTGCACTTTTTACCTGGAAGAAAAGTGTTTTCAGGTTAAATTAAACCAAAACCTAATCAATACCACCAGTTGCTACGTTTTTTCTTTATATCTTTCACCACTTCTCAACAGTAATATTTCTATATCAACACCCTAAGGAATAATTATATATCTCTCATCTATACAGGCAGTCACACTTCGCTGTCTGCATCCATGTATATCACTGCATCAAGGGCAAGACACATCACTCTTCTTCCTACTGGCTCACGATTTCAATCCTGAGAACATACTCCATGCTTTATAAAACAAAACAGCTCTAACACAGTTTGTATAGTTACGAATTTCTTTGAATACCAACCAGAAGAAAATAGCAAAAAGCTATGTTATCTAGAAGGTATATCTGGTAGTCCCTAATTTCCTGCTACAATGTTTTTATTAACGTGTATGGAGGGTATAAAAATAGATGTAGTGCTTAGATGGCAACATGAAAAATGGCCCTCTTTTTTCCCCCCCCAGTAATGACAAGATGTTAATTAATTGCTTGCTTCACCTACCTTTGAATACAAATCAATCTGACTTAGGCACTTACCATAAGGACACGGTTGTTTCTTATGTTCAGGAATAACTGGCCTTTTTCTTAAGAAATTTTCAAGGCTTGGACCATGGCGTCCTAAGGGATCATCAGGAGGCATAAATCTAAGGGGGAAGAGATGAAACGTGCATTTCAGTTTTTACTGAGGGTTCTGAACTAGCAAATTCCCTTACTTCTGAAGAAAAAAACCATACTTGTCATTCACAAAAGAATACATTAGCAGCCGCTCCTCTATGAACTTCTTCCATTCTGGTTTTTCATTTTGAAGATCACGATAGTTGTCATTTGATACAATGATGCCATCCGAGTCGAACGCAAGCTTTACTATGAATCGATCATCATAGCAAACTACTCTTCTTCCCTGAACTCTTCGAGATGGGGTGAAAACAAGAATTTTTTCTTTCTCCAATTTACGTAAGATTTCTTGATCTGTAAAATAGTTTTAGTTGAGCAGCTTTTTAAAAAGTTTTAAAAGAAAGAAATGCAGCCTTTGAAACATGAAAACTTCTTGTCCTCTTTTCTGGCAAAGTATTTTGTAATCATGTTCATATACACAACTCATTATTAAAAAACACCCCGATGCAGAGTGCCTTTTTATTCCTGAGGTTTCGAAGCACTGGGTAGATATCCAATATTTAAGCTTCATAACCACTCTACTCCTTTATAAACAACCTTTACTCAGTCATCCTGAACACATCAAGAACTCAGTCGTCACTGTATTACAGTAGCCCTCTGGTTAGCCTAGAGTAAAACGCAAGTACTTTTGATGTGTCAGAATACATCCCGCCTCTTCAGTGTTCAACATAATCCTACTAAATGAGTCCCTGGCCTCTTATTACTTACTTTAGACTCACCCAGCAACTAAGAATCAGTTCCTATATGCTTAACAATGCCTGCTGATGGGAAAATTATGACTACTACTTCTCAAGTGTTGAAATGTTACAAAAAACCAGCACTGTTTACAGGTGCAGATACTTAAATGCTTATTTCCTCACTAGTTAAATTGTTGTGTTTTCAAACAAACAGCTGAGTGCAACATCATTGTGCAACATCCCATCCACAGCCCAGTATGTAGAATCCATCAGAAAGATGACACGGTTGTGACTTAATGCAATACTTCTTTTTTCTTTTTAAACATGTGGTCAAATAAAATCTTGATCTGTTACCTGTAATTGGTGCATCAGGTCGAGACTGTTCTTTTCTCCATGCAGGTACAAAGACAGTGATATCTTTATGTCCTTTTTCCAGAAACCAATCAACAGCTAGTTGAATTCCCCGACAGGAAAATCCTTCTTTATTCCCATGGCTGAAGAACATGCAAAAGTTTTAGAAACAGCAAGGACAAAAGTTACATTTGGGTTTCATTTTTGTTGTGGTGGTGTTTTTGTTTTTATTCTAAAGCTGCCATGGTCTAAGGACACAGTCTGTAAAGACAGGTAAACCTTTTTATTAGACCAGCTTACATAATTGGAAAAAGACAATTGTCCAGAGCTATTCAGCCATCAGATTACAGCAGCACTGCTACTTAAAACTCTAGAAACAGTGAATTTTCACTATCCCAGCATTATGGCTGGATTTCACATTCAGATTCAAGCCAACATTTTATTTGTCTGAAAAACAGAATGCATATCTTACTGCTGCACCATATAATTGAGTAATAAAACTAGAGGTTCTGGTTCTTTTCAGTTAATATTGTAACTACTTGAGAAAAAAAAAATAGTCTGCCTTTTTTACTAAAAAAACAAACAAACAAAACCAACCCTGTTTGTTACACTTCAGTTTGGCTACCAGAGTGAACTACTTGCAAAATTGCATTTGAAGAGGGTAGGCTAGTAAGCCAGTGCTATGCTCCTTGATGGACACTCTTCAAAATGTATTAATTCCATTCCTCCCCCCCCCCCAGCTTTATCAACACAGCTGCAATTTTTCATCAATTGTGATAGGAGCCATCCTGCCCAGTTAGTTTTGCACCTACCAGTTATTGTTTCTGAAAAGACTTCTATATTAATTTGTGAAGAAAATTAGTTTAAAATAATTCCATTGTTTCAAAAGGTGCTAACTGAATCACATCAGCGATGCCGTATTGAGGAGTGAGATCCTCACCATGAAAAAGTGGTTGAGTGGCCAGGTGGGGGAGGGTTACAGAATGCTGTAAGGGCAAGAGAGACGATGCACACCAATGACACACTCTATTGGAAAAAAACCACGAGAGCTTAGGTAGCAGTGCTGGGCAGAAAACACAGGAGAGGAAGGACTCTGCTACAGCAGCCCTGAAGCATGTGGGCAGTCCATGCAGTTGGCCTGTGGCACTCTATAATCTGAGGAATAACTCACTGTACTTAAAGCAGCTGGCATTTGACTGTACACAGTGGCATCCAGCTGCTGCACCATCCTGTTCCAAGCTGTTAGTTCTGTGTAGCATCCCCCAAAACTGTTTACTTCAAGGAAATTTCAGTACTGAAAACAGAAATGGTTCCATTTTTCATATATAGCCACCTTTTAGTTACAACATACTCATTTTACCACAAAGGCAAGGCCTCCATTTGCATCATCAATAACTGCAGCATTTTTAAGCATGAGAAGTGTATAACCCTTGCAATTTCAGATATTCTCAGTCTGTAGAGCAGATGCTGCACAACTAAGAGATTTGCATCTTATTAGAATTGTCTTTAGCATTATTCTGTGGATTATAATTCAAAATTTTACTTCAATGTTGCTGTTGTTATTATAGAACACAACCACAGATTCCTGGACCTTTGTGAGATGCATGCTCTTCCTGGGCTCAAAATGCTACATAAAGTAACACTGAACCAGACCAAAGGGAGACGGATCTGATACCACCTGAATAACTAAGGCCTGTGGACCACCAGCATAGTCCAAATTATTGCAACTTTAATAATGAATACAGAAGCCACCATGTTGCTAAAGCATTTTTCTTTAGACTTTTGTACATTCCAGATTTTACAGAATTTAATACTCTTTCAAATTTTCAGATGCATATGCATTTAGTTATGAGTTAGACTCACTGATCCTTATATATCCCTTCCAACTTCAGATACTCTCTGGTTTCTATAAATAGAGCATCAGTTCTAAGCTATTCAACAGTAAGGGCACACACACACTTTTCTCCAGTTGCTGCCACATTACGCTCAGGAGTAACTCAAGCAGTAGAGAGACTGTAAATTCAACAGGCACATTAAGAAAGGGAAGAAAAAAGTTAAATCCAATATTGATGACACTGCTTTAAAGAAACATGTTTCAGATTGATGTAACCTCAACTTAGCACTGGAATTTGGGGAGTTTATGTATTTCAGAACTCAGAGTACTCAATACACGTATAAAAATCTGAATTTTCTTAATACATTGAAAAAAAAATAAGATCACAAATTCTTCTAGAACGGAAAGCTAATACTAGAGGAAATCTATTGCGCAAACACTACCTGAAGGAATCTTGGTATCACTGGTCACTGAACAGACTGTTTAAAGAATTCCCTCACAGAAAATCATACTTTCTCCATGATAAAGAAAACATTGGCTAGCTGAACTGCGTACTCTGCAGACATGCTCAAAAGTGGCATGTGACAGACATCTCGAGTTAATGGTGACCCACGCAGCCAAGTGCATGTGTGTACACACGTCAGCATGTTTAGCTCATGCATATCCCTGCACTAACACAGCTAAATTACTTTGAATTCTGAGCAGGCTTCATCAGCAGGAGCTCAAATACCCTGAAGTCCACTGCATATCATCAGCATACACTGCATGTCATTTCAGAAAGAACGAAGTTTCCCTCCCCTATTTGGTTGCCTCTGGACATTAAAGAAAGACAATTTTTAACATTGTTCAAGGACTTCAAAAAATTAAACCCATCCACATAAAAGCACACCACAGCTAGATTGCTAGAACAGAAGATCTGAGGGAGAAATTGGTTTGAAAAGGCGGGGAGGGGAATTGGAAAATAGATTACATATAAAGGAGTAACAGCATAATTAAAAGCCTGGAGCCTGGACTAAAGAGTCTGTAAAAAACATGTCTTATCAGTGTAAATATACTACACGACTTTAAATTACTTTGCCATCAATATTGATTTTTCTCATAAATATTTTAGTGATTTATTCTTTTCAAATGTCATGACAAGGAGACCCACCTCATAGCCACATTGCTTCCATCAATGACAATTGGCCTCAAGTTATCACTGTTATCCACAACTTCATCTTCAAGTGACAATTCAGGGCTTGCTATTTCCTTTGGGCAAGGGCCTCTTGGCACCAGAGTACTAGTGGTACTGCTGGCACTGCTTTGTCCCTCTGATTCACTTTTGTTGCCAAGTCTCACAAGCTCTGCCAGAACATCATTGATGAGTGCATCTGCTCCCAATTTATTCAATACAGCCTGGATCTGATCTCCCGCATACCCAAGCTTTAAAGCAAAATCCATTTTAGCTTGGTATTCCTTGTCCAAATTTGTTTTGCATTCATCTAGTTTCAAGTCTTGTGTGATACTGCTCTGTGAAAAACTTGGGCGATCCAAACAAGGGGACCGACAGAGTGGCCGATGTGGTTTAGTGGAAACCTCCTTTTCTCTCCACTGAGTATTGCTACAGCTGCTTCTGAAGTATGGTTGCTCAGGTTCACTTTCTGAGCTCGTCCATTCCTCAGATTCAGCACTGCATTCCCCAGCATCTTGTTCCACATTTCTGTCTTCTCTGGAGTACCTCTTCTCCATTTTCAGCTTCCCTACCATAGACCAGGCCGTCATCACGTTCAGCTTCCAGCCAGAGAGCTCAGTTCTCTTTCAATTGCATCTTGTTGGCCAACTAAAAGTTTACACAAGGCTGCAGTTAATTTGCCTTGCTTACTATGTTCTGGCATAAACAACACCAACATGAAGTTCCTTCAAAAAAAAAAAAAAAAAAATTAGCTTTTGACAAATTCTGCAAAATACTCAACTACAATGATTCTGTTTACAAGTCAGTAGAGGTCCCTAGTCATCCATATTTCTGTGTAAAAATTGATCATAATAAAGCATATAACTATGTTGTCTCTTTAAACCTATCTTTCCCTCCCCCAGTTACTCTATGTACAAAAAAAATTACACTTCCCACACAATAAACTTACAGTTGGAATTAATGGCCCATCTCAGTAATACTTAAAGATAATAAAACAGAAAAGGGTGACCCACCACTTTCACAAGAAACCTGTCTTTACAGCCTTCTACTGCAGGAACAGCCCATCTACATCAGGAACAACTGTGTGGAGTTCCAGTATGCATCAAATTTAACATAAACCATTTCATTCTCTTTCAGTAAGTTTACTAGCAGAGACAACAAGTTAAATTTACCACAAGCTGCCTGCTAGACATATAAAGGTCAATAACAAGACGCACAAAGGTTCTAGATGACAATTATCTTGTGCTCTGTTTACTGTACCTACTGTACTGAAAATTCCAAAATCAAGGATGGATATTACTGCATTTTGACAGGAAGTCAGGATAGATAATCATAATTCTTGTCTGATAACAGATGAAAAACTGTTCAAGGAATTCTAGTGAGAGGTCTGACAAACTAGAAGACTAAAGTGACCTATGAAGGGCTGAACTGATGTCACAGAGCCTTTGAAAAACAGTTTTTAAAAGGAATTGCACCTACAGCAGTGCATGTTTTGGATAAAATGGTAAACTAAGACCTAGATATAAATGCAGGTAATTGGAGAAAATTGATTACCAAAGTAATTAGCTAGAGGCCTACTGTTACAAAGGGGTAAGTCCCACTTTCTTCTCTCCTGTAAAACAGCAAACTTGAGAATGCAGGATCCAGTGTGAGTAGCAAAAAATAATGATGTAATGGTCTTGAAGAAACCATTTATTTTAAATCCACTTCCTCATTTTGCTAAATCTCACTTTTGTTAAAGTCACCTCTTCTAGATGTAACTAGACAAAGAGAAGAAAGACTGAAGGATAGGAAAATGACAAAGTACCGAACTTTTTAAAGAGCACAGTTTTAAAGCTACATCTACTGTAGATGTACTACAGAGACTTCTGTCAGCAAAGATGTAGTCGGAAGATGCATGAGAAGCATGATTCTGGATTTAAACAGCAATCACAGAAGAAAGACCTAGCATTGACACCAGTTTTCCAGTATACCTTTGCTTTTAACAGTATAGCCAGTTACCTTAGTGTTCTGACAAATGCTGTAGATATGAACTGCAGGATGCATGAAAAGCTCTTTCCCAGGATTCCTCTAAGAATTTTTGTGACACAAAATAGGCACGACTTTGGCACTGGAACAGAGATTGGTCACAAATGTCCTTTCCTAGTAAGCTCCTCATGCATCCAAAAAGAAAAAAAAAAAAAAAAGAAGAAAAAAAAACACCAAACAAAAAACCCACACCCCCTCTAAAAAACCAACCACCCCTCCTCTCAGGTCTCTTCCACTCCTTCAGGCTATGGAGCAAGCATTAAAAGACAACAAAGTTTTCCTCAAAAGAGCATAAGCACTCAACCAAGTACATGAATTATTTATGAATAGGACATTATCAAATACACTTTTATTCAAAAGCTTTTTAAAAATCTGATTCCTATCTCCCTAAGAGACCACAGTGGCTCTTGTTTAATTACAGTGGTCTACCAAACCAGCAAATAATAGGAGAAATACTCCCTTAATGTACAGCAGTGTAACTCCCTTGATGTACAGTAATGCCAAAACTAGGGACTAAAAATAAGTATTGGAATCTGTCTTGGGGGGAAAGTTGTGTCTAGTGTAGCTAGAAGAGCAGCACCTCTGACACTGTTCATTTTATGATTTGTTTTTCTTCCTAAAAATAGAACTTTAAATCTTCCTACAGGACAACGTTCAGTAGATACTGAAATCAAGAGAGCAACAACAGGAATGGTGACATGCATGAATATATTAATTTAGTGATGTAAAACAAATATAATAAACATAAACCCAAAATCTTACATTCTAATCTTTAAAATGAAAAACCGATCTTTTTTTTTTCCTGAAAAACAGTATGGACATTTTACAAAGCATTATAAGCTAAAGAAAAATGAAAGAACCACCGGTGTGCACATAAGTCAAAGCTTATTCATTCTGTGTTTCCATATCTTTTCATTTTTAGATAATAAGAAGCTGAAAATCATAGCCCCAATATATCAATCATAGAATCATTAAGGTTGGAAAAGACCTCCAAGATCATCAAGTCCAACCATCAACCCAACACCACCATGCCTATTAAACCATGTCCCAAAGTGCCACATCCAGATGTTTTTTGAACGCCTCCAGGGATGGTGACTCCATTCCAATGCTTCACCAGTCTTTCAGTAAAAAAATTTTTCCTAATATCTAATTGAAACCTCCCCTGATGCAACTTGAGGCCGTTTCCTCTCATCCTCTCATCTCAGAAAGCTTTCTTCCTTGACTATTTTCTTACATTAAATGGTGGTTTTCTGTCCTATTTGAGTGTTTCTGAGAAAAACAGGTCTAGAAGAGTGATAAAATTTGATAATCAAAACCATAAAAACGTCAAAGGATCTCTAAGACAGGTCCCTATTGGCCTAAAAACACCAACAAAACCAAAACCTAGAATTGTCTCAAAGTGAAACAAAGATTAATAATCTGTGAAACATTTACACAGTTATCTATAATTACCTTAAACAGGCCAAACAGTAACATTCTACAAGACTGCACTTTAATTTATGCTCTTTAGTTATACATCTCACTTGGCTGTGGTAAATTTACATACTGGTGGAGATGGCAGATATATATCCAGAATAAAATTAACTTCAACCCGCGTTTCCAGTGGTACTGGAAAGTACCTACCTACTAAAGGTAGGTCTTTTAAGAATATGTATGTTTACAAATGAGCAATTTTAGGCAAATATCTTGATTGAAGTTTCATTTATTTGTGTGCTTATTTGCTTTGGGGATAAAGATCTTTCATATTCTGTTCAATTCACTTGTGACCTCTTAAGAGTGGCTAAGAGGAAATTACTCCTATCATTAACTATACAGTGGAAGAAAAAAATGTTTAGAAGAAAAAAATAAAATATTCTAAAATATAGTCCTAGTTCTCATATCATGTGAAACACGGTCCCAGTGACAATTTCTTTTGATGAATATGAACAGCAAGATTGTCAGCTACACTGTGTGGTTCTTAAGTAAGCAAGAAAAGTACATAGCAAAGGTGGCTAGCTTGACCAGTAATCATTAATGGTCTCAAAATTACTCCAAACATAATGACTCACTTGTTCATGCTCTTTTTGTGATGTACATACATGCAAACACAAACACACACATGCAGAAAGGGCTGTTCAAAAGCCTAGTTTCCTTAGAAAGCAAGCCAATGAAAGAAAATGCTAATCATTTATATATTAAAAAAAAAAAAACAACAAACACTAAAAGGCCAAGTTTTGAGTCGACCAACACTGTTTTTTAACAAAGAACCACCATATTCTTAGTCTGTTACGTAACATGGAATAAAACCACAGTTTCCTTGCATTTGAATGGAAATTCCAATGTTGATTAGTTAGGTTTGAGTTAGACTTCAGTTAGGTTAGATTTAGATGCTTGCTATTCCTTAATAATATGCATTCAAAGACTATCCCTCCAAATACTTAGATATCATTATTATTACAGTACTACCTATGTTCATTTGAGGTGATTTTCTCTCACATAGCACTAAGAGCAGTATATTTACAACCCAAGTACTTGTCAACATAGGTGTATTAATCGGCTTAAACTGGAATGGATTTTAATTAGGTCTCATGTATAGCCTTGTACCTTGCCAATACTAAAACAAAGGATATAAAAAATAATTATAGAAGATCAAAAGAACAGGTTATCAGCACACTGCACCCTCAGCTTACAAAATACTGCAACTAAGGAACACTTTACAATACCTGTGGTAAGACTCATTTTTTCAAATTTATGACACTGTACTGCTTTGGCACTGGACAAAGAACAGTGTGATTCTGTTGGTCCAAGTTTAAAGATCTCTATTCTTTTTCCCAAGTTGTCATTCAAATTTATTTCTCCATTGGTTTTACTTCAACAAAACATTTTCCAGAAGTAACCCATTTAAACCAATTTTTAGAAGACCAAATTTACATTCCCTTATAAACACTTAAATATTAATTTAAACTGCAAGCAAAATATGTTCCTTCCCAACTGGGAATTAAATCATCTGGACTCAAAGAGACTATGATCTTTTTTATAGTAATAAAATAATCTGGGTAACACTATCACTGTTACTTCCACACTTGTTGATTTCACCATTTCGTTGCATTGTTCCAATTCCACATACCTATCTCTAGTTTTCTGTTATTTTACATCCTATAAGCAATTTATCATAAAGGAAACAGTTGTAACAATAGGTGGTGAATTCAACTCACTGAGTTTAAATGCTTTGAACATACAGAAAACTCATTTCCCCAATAGGCCTACATAATAGAGGAGTCCTTTATTTGAAGGAGAGCCATGTGGCCCACTAAGAGGGGATAATATACTGAATGCTTGCTACACTGTCTGTGGAGAGGTAGTGATAGCAAGTAGAGGTACTTAACTGGAAGTCAGAAATAAACTGAGACCAAGTACGGCTTCAGACATAGAGTGGTACAGAGCAGAAACCCCAGCTTTCCAAGAAGAGGGCATCTGAGCCTTTTCAGAGTGGTGGTACTGGATTGCTGGCATTGACAAAGGCAATGACTGACAGGCTTGTTAGATCAAAATACTAACTGACTGAAAAGAGATACCAGCTGTATTGTAGTGATCCTGGGTTCCAGAATAGGACTGCAAATTTATTTTAAAAAAACACAACTGCAATTCGAGGTCAGGTAGTAATCAGTTTCTGTAGCTGTGCTTTTTCTCACTGTTGAGAGCTGGCTTGCTCAGGGACAAGAGTCTGGACCATAGTCTGTGAACACACATAGTAAATCTAGAGTCATAATTGTGGGGCTATAGGTAGTTGATGGTGGGTTTTGTTGTTGGATTTTTTGTTTTGGTGCTCCTGACCCAACAATGAGATGACCTTCATTGTTTGAGAATCTTAACCTTATGCATTTGGGACCAAATCCTACAATGTCCCAAGTCTGTGCATGCAGCAGAACAGTTAAACTGCACAGATAGAGCGACTGGCTAAGTGTGGAGAGGCTTCGGTGCAAGCTGACTTTTTTCCTAGGAGCTCTTTGTACGAAAGCATACAGGTTGTAGAGATGGGCTCTGGAGACTGCCTGCCTCTTTTTCAGTCGGTATGACAGTTGATGTTAACAGGTTATCTAAACTATTCGACCAAAGTGGCCTCTTCAGAAATCGGCTTTGTGTGCTGGGTGTTTAAAGAAAACGGGGAAAACCTCCTTACTTTTCCAGAAGTTACAATGTCTACAATTGTAATATTTTTGTGGAAGATCTGTGATATATCTTGGTAGAAATGACTACAGCTGGTACAGACAGGACCTTTTGACTGTTAGTGTTTTCATCGTAAGATCGTAGATGGATATGAAGAGGAGATTTTTATAAAACACTGTGATTTAGTTTTGAAGATAACTAGACATTTGTTTCTTTTTTAGAGGATTTTTAATTCCCATCTCAAATACTTGAAACATAATGGTGATCATTACATCACAGACCAAGTATTTTCCATTGCTATGCAAGAAAGGGTTGAGACAGCTAAAATTTCCCTAGTTAGTGGCTTTCAACCAAAGGCTGACATGAATGAAAAGCAAGGCAAGAAACTCCAAGGTGAGTCATTGAAGTGGGTGTTTCCATAGAGTGAGCTTTCATAACAGACCCACCAATCTATCACTAGCGACCAAAGAATAGTAAACCATAGCACAGGACTGGCAGAGGACAGTCCTTCTAGATCTGAAATACTGCTTCCTAACACCGATTGTATCTGGGCCGCTTTCTTTGAAAGCGTGACAGAAGTGAGTATGCCAGCAGTAGTGATAGAAATGGTTATTGAAATTAAATTTGTATTTTAAATATGTTTTTAATTCAGGATTATTTAGATCTGACTATGATCAAACTATCTTCTTGTCAAAATAACATCTTACTTTTGGGGAAGGATAAATGTCAACAGTCAAACTAAAGAAATTGCTGATTAAAAACTGTAAGTAGGAACTTCTGAAGTTCCTTTAAAAGAAGCTTGATGCTGCCAGGAAATGAAGAACAAATGATAGAATCTGGTCAGTATTTCTTGCTACCTCAAATGCAAGAAGGGCCCAGGGAAGAGTTGTAGCCGCTGCTCTTTCACCTTGTGCCCTTGCACCTTCTCATCGGAACA